TGCACTCATCAAGTTTCGCGTGCATCTCCTTGGTGAAAGTACGTTTGCTTTGTACACCGATCATGCAGCGCTGCGCACAGCGATAAAGAGCCCACACCTGTCCCAACGGATGGCACGATGGCTCTCATTCTTCTCTGAGTACAACTTCGTCGTGCATTACAAGCCAGGCAAGACCAATATTCTCGCTGACGCCTTGTCACGACGTCCCGACTACGATCCTCGGACTGCTCTGAGTCGTCAGGCTACTGATGACGAGGACGATGATGTGCGATGTGCAATGTGTGTATCGTTGAACTTAACTCGGGTTACACCCGAGCCGTGTTTATGTGATGAGATCGTCGCAGCGTACAATGGTGACTCAGATTATGCAGACATTATCGAGTATCTGCGTGCTCCCAGCGATGCTGCACTGGGAGCATTATCCCGTACCAAGCGCGACCATATTCATCGATACAGTTTAGATGGCGATTTGCTTCTGTATAGCATCGACCAATTCGATGCTCCTCGCGCGGTGATTGCCAATGACATGGATTTGCGTGCAAGAATCATTCACGAGTATCACGATGCTCCTGCTGGCGGCCATTTAGGCCGCGAAAAGACTTTCGCGGCTGTGTCTCGAGACTTCTTCTGGCCCCACATGTATAAGTGGGTACGCAACTGGATCCGAACGTGCGAAATATGCCAGCGTGTGAAGCCATCTCAATGGTCGCAGGCTGACTTGCGATCGTTGCCAATTGCAGCAGAGGCCTGGAGATCAGTTTCGATGGACTTTATCTTCGGGCTTGCGCCCGATAGCCAAGCTCGAACGGGCAACTTGGTCTTTGTTGACAGATTCAGCAAGATGACACATCTCGTGCCTGTTCACGCTAAGGTCACCGCGGCAGAGACCGCGGCGCACTTCATCGACGCGGTGTTCCGTCATCATGGCCTTCCAGAAAACATTGTTTCGGACCGTGATCCGCGATTTACGTCCGCATTTTGGACATCACTTTTCGAGCTCCTCGGGACAAAACTGCTGATGTCGACGGCAGCCCATCCGGAAACGGATGGGCAGACCGAGCGCGTGAACCGAGTCCTCGAAGATGTTCTTCGGAGTTATGCTACGTCATTTACAAGTTGGAGTGCATTTTTACCACTCGCTGAGTTCGCACTCAACAACGCCGTACACGCGTCAACAGGGTTGACGCCATTTTTTGTGAATTCGGCTCGTCACCCTCGTGTTCCTACTGTCCTGGCCGTGGGGCGACCCACAACACCTAGTGGCTCCACTCTGGGGGGGGATAAAGGTGATAAACAAGGATCGAGTGCAGCTCACGGTATTTTGAGCGCGAATGCAGTAACACGATCCAAGGCAAAGACGGCCATTTTGACGCCATCAGACGTGGCGTCCCCATTAGCTTGATGGACTGCGCAGACATTAATTGACCCGTCTTCGGGTAAGCGTTCCCTTACTGCCAACTACGCGCCGATTGAGTCGGCGCGACCAATTGATGACATGGCCGTGTCGGAATTTATACTCAGACGTCAAGCCATCACCAGGTTTGTACGCGACGCACTACAAACTGCTGTAGACCTACAGAAGGAGAACGCTGACAAACATGGAAGAAAGAACATGAGCAAGTTTGAGAAAGGTGACCGTGTATTATTATCGACGGAAGGTTTAAGGGATTCTGCGGTCACTAATCTAGGCGCGAGTAAACTCGCGCCACGCTTCATCGGTCCATTCAAGGTTCTGAAGGCAATTGGCGACGCTTATACACTCGACGTCCCCTCTTCACTGCGACTCCACCCGACATTCTATGTCGGGCGGCTGAAGGAATATCGTCCGGCTACGCTTCACGGTTTGGCTCCGACGCCGACTTCAGGGGTTCGTAAGTCGAACGGCCTTCCCGTCGCGCTCGACGCGCCGATGACATGGGGCGGGGTCTCGATCCCGTCTGAACCTGACCAAGCATCTGGCGCTCCAGAATCCTTATCCGCTCGAGAAGTTCACGGTTCGACTACCGGGTCTCACTCGAAGTCTTCTCCGCCTGGGCAGCACGTTCACTGGCAGCCTCAGCCTCCAGCCGATCATCGGCAGCTATATTCACGGCCTGATCAACATCGTCCTGAGCAACCAGGACGCCAGCTCTACCACCGCGAGAGCCCTCCTCCGCTTGTTGATGCGGAGGGACAGGTGCGCTGGATTGTAGACCGCATTGTGGGTCACGAGGACCCTCCACAACCATTACTGCAGTCGGCTCATGAGAAGCGTGCGGTTCCATCCGCGCGCAGGTACCGAGTACGTTGGCTTGGATTCCCTCCCGAGCAGGATACATGGGACCACGTTCCTCGCTCCTTCGTGACGTTCCAGATGTGGTTCTGTCGTATGAAGCCACAAAGTCGGACTATTCCAAGGCAGACGAGCACGCGAACGCTCTCGTGACAAACGAGAGCGATAAGGAGATCCACGTCGTCGGGAACGAGAACGATGTCGCGAACGCAAACGATGTCGCGAACGAGATCGATGCCGTGATCGAGAATGTCGCGGTGAATACATATCACGATTGCGAGGCGAGAATCGCGCAACTGGACGGGCAGGCGAACGTGTCGCTGCCCTGCGCTGATGATTCCGCGGAGATCGACTCCGCTGTCGCGAGTGGTGCCGCCAGCGGGCGCACCACGAATAACTGCGCTTCTCCGTTCGCCCAGACTTCGCTCATACTTCGCAATCCAACTTCGTTCGCGATCACTGAGTGGACACTCAGCGATGTGTCGTCGCCATTCGTCATGAGTTGGGCGTGGAGTCGAGTCACAAGATTGGCATCCGATTCCAACGTTGGATGAAGGCGCACCAAGAACGTTGTAGAGCCTCATGCTCGATTCCATCAAGACCTTTCCCGCGCAGTTTTCGAAATCGGCGGAAGTAGTCCCGCATCATGTCCAGTGAGTCCGGAGCGTGAGCTCCGGACAAGTCGTACAGCGACCAAGGTATGAGCTGCCGCGCCATGATGTTGGTTGATGCATTCCCGCTGATGTATCTTGGGCGTCCTGCTGGATTGGGTTTTGGATCTCCGGACATTGCTTGTTCGTTTGTAGGCGAAGGGTTTTCGACAGTTGAGCGCTCACGGTTGGTGAGCGCTGTCATGAGAAGGGGGTGATGTAATGGGCTACATTACATAGTATTAATATGAATAAACAATTACATATGTAGGCAGGTGCTGGGCCCGAATAGCGGGCACAGCTTGGTAATTTATTATTGGTTTATTATTGGGCCTAAAGTCCCCAATATGGACCAATGATAAATCAACCTGAAATTGTGTGGTTCCCGAAAGGCGGGAACACTGTCGTATTTATTACGACTAAAATCTTCGTAATTAGTACGAATTAAAACCAAAATAAAAATCGGAGTTAAATTTACTTAATACCTAATACTTGGGCTTGAGTCTTCCTCAAGCGCACGTGTAAGCTAGTGACGGTACGTTCTAGCCCCGTTACACACTCCACCACACAATTGCCTGTTAAGTCGTGCCAATACTTGGCTTTGCGTAGTAATATGAGGTTCCAGGTATCGTTGTCGAAGGGCCGTTCGCGTTGCAACATCCTCGGGTGAAATGGCCTCAGGCCCAATGGCCTATCTAGAAAGGGAATGCCCAGATGCCTCCTTTAGGCGTTCTTCCACCGTAGGTGGTTTGAACCTGTACTGTTGATGGTCTTGAAGCCCCGCCATATTCTTCGTCCGGCGCTTGGCGCTTTCCTCTTGGTCGATGTTCTTCTGTTGCTGCTCGTCGAGTGGGTTGTTAACCGTCACCGTTGATGATACGTCAGGCGGGTCACGTAACGCTGTTAGCGCATCTGCAGCACCACGTTCAGGGAACGGATTCGGTGCATGACTAGTGTCATCTTCACCCGTGAGGGTGGCTAATGGGGACCCATCGGGTCCCACAAAGACGGTGTCACTTTCGTAATCAACCGCTTCGTCAAGGTCGCCTTCGATAAGGTCCCGTAGAGTCTGTGACTCAGTTCCAGGAGGCGTCATGGTATGTGCCGTGAACAAACCGTAAGGTTTTAACGTTCGCTAAAGCACTACCTCTAAGAGGAAAGATGTCGAATGACATTCTATGGGAACGTCAGTCTGGTGGGGGAGGGTGTAACGGGGTTATACGATGGTTGTAGCGTCTTTCCGAGAGTTTACGGTTGAACTCCCCTTTGTATTGCATATAATGCACTATTATACTTCTCTTTAGAGAGGTATTAAGTATGAGCGTTAAGATACGGTATTCGGTAATACCGTATCTTATCGATTAGGATTCGATAAATCCATAACGCTGTACTAAGTACATCATACACAGATGTTTAGACGATACGTCGTCCAATAGCAAAGTCTGCATATAATAATTACTATTATAGTAATTAATCTAGTGTAGTGTACTTAGAGTAGGACTATTCATAAAACCTTAAAGCATTAAAATCAGTTCTCCTTTTGAGTTTAAGATCGCAAGTCGTTCTGACTTGTTCTCTTGTGCACTTCGTGCGTTGGTTCTCTAAACCTCTAAGCTTCTAGCTTGTTCTTGCACTCTGTGCGTTGGTTCTCTGAACCTTAAGCTTCTTGCTTGACTGACTAAAGTCTGTATCCTAGTTCCTTAGAACGGGGTGACTTTCAGTCGTTTAATTAGTTCCTTAGAACTCAGTGGCTTTTAGCCGTAACTCTATTTAGTTCTCTAGAATTAAGAGGCTTCCAGCCTAAAGTCTTCCTCTGGCTAAAGAGCTGTGCAGCTCCGCTACAGATAGCGACGTCAGTTTTCTTCTGAGCAGCAGACGCCCATGAAGATGATTAAATATAGAAGCATTTGAAAGAAGCGAGTGAAACGCAAAGTCTAGCAGGAAAACATCTTCAAATGTGTATCCGCATCTTCATTTGAAGACACTTGGACTCATCGCACCTTCAAAAAGGCCCCAAAATGGTCACATCTACAGGATGGTTACATGACTAATCTCTGTCAAAATTTGCATCGCTGGGCTCACTTCTCGTTGTCGGAGTCTTCAAAGTCCTCTGTGCTCTCACCAAAACGGTCGGAGACATAGTTGGTATACGTCAGGAACTGGTTTGACAGCTTGGATTCGAACGTCGGTGTAAATCCCGAAGGCGTAAAGTTTAGATCCGCAAAGATATCTTTACGGAGCATGCGTGCTGTTCAATTCGGTACAAAGTCATTAAATCACTCACACACCTAAAGTCCGACAGAAAGGCTTTGTCCGTACCAGTGATGAAGGTGCATGGGTTGAGGATCTTGTGTTTGCTTCCCGGTACAACCTCTACGTCCTTCACTAGCCAGCGCATAGTCTCAGCAAACTTGCTCATGCAGTTGATATTCTGCAAATTTAAACAGTTCAATTATTTTCTGAGCATCTCAAACAGTGTCATCCATTATACGCAACGTACCAGGTAAGGTGGGTCTACCAGCACATAGTCAAAAAATCGGTGAAATTTCTCTGGCAGATTTGTGGGCTCATTGTAGTCGTAAAAGACAAAGTGGTCGTTGTACTTCTCGCCAAAGCGGCGGTCGTACTCGAATAAATACACATTATCACCGTCGATAGACGATTCGCTCTCCTCTTGAATTTTTAGGAAGTATCGATAAGCCGCTGGTGTGCTCACAAAAGCAATGCATTTCTCTTTGCTCTGGTCGATGGCCTCCTGTGCCAAAGCGCGACCAGTTCGGTTGTTGTACCAGCTTCACACAGCAAACAGTTAGTTCACGATGTTATATCATGAGCACCACGTCTTAGTAGTCGACGCACAATTGTGATAGACGGAAGTCCTCGGATACGCCTGCATCCTGTTGGACCTGTTGCTCCTGAAGATGCGCCTGCAATGCCGCCAAAGTGTCGGCTGATAGCTCGCTTGAGAGTAGGAAATCCATTTATGGCAAATGGCAAATGCGTTTTCAACCAATCGTTAAGTAAGTGAATGAATGCAAAATACAAGAAACAGGAAGATAGAGTTGGTATTCATAGTCGCCTATTAAGAACCTACTGCTACTTGATCTACTTGGGGTCATCATCCTCGTCTTCGGGCTCCTTGCAAGGTCCGAACCGCTGCGACTCGTAATTAGTGTATGTGAGAAGATGGTTGGAAAGTTTTGACTCAAAGCTCGGATAGAATCCAGTGGGAGTGAAGCCCAGGTCAGCCTTCATTTCCTTCCGCAGCAATTGAGCTGTATATATGCATGGACAGGAAGATAGCACAAGTAAAGCGGGTCAATCGTGGGTTCATCAGTACCAAAATAAAGTGAACGTATTGCCACTGCAAGCAGCATTTTTCGTACAGTTAATGAATGTGGTCGGATTAATCACGCGGTCCTTCTTGCCGGGTACCAGTTCCACGTCCTTGGCAATCCATCGCATTGTATCGGAGAATTTTGCCAAACAGTCGAGGCTCTAAATAATTATGATACAACATGAAGAGGTGAGATGCCTAGCGTTTTCATTATTCGAACACAAAAGACAGCAACGCACTAGATGCGGCGGTTCCATCAGTACATAGTCAAAGAAGTGATGAAACTTCCCGGGCAAATTTGTTGGTGCATTGTAGTCGTAGAAGCAAAAATGGTCGCCGTATTTCTCTCCAAACCGACGGTCGAACTCGAAAAGGTATACGTTGTCGCCCATGACGGCGCGCTTGGCTTCGTCCTTCTCCTCGCTCTGGATCTTCAAAAAATCACGGTATGCCGCTGGGGTGCTCACAAAAGCAATTTTAAGTTCATTACTGCTGTGATCAATGGCCTCCTGGGCCAACGCACGCCCAGTTTTCTCATCATACCAGCTGACAATGCATGCAAATGAGTCAATTAAAGAGTATTAAATGGCAGAGGTGGAAGAAGTGTCTCTCATGTACAATTGCGATAATCGAAAATCCTCCGACACAGGAGCATCTTCATCTTGTTGATGTTGCTCTAGAAGATGCGCCTGCAATGCTGCCAGCGTCTCGGCAGACAACTCAGTCATTAGCAATTCGTCCATCGTGTGCTGATTTGAATGCTTGTTTGGCTGATAGACATGCTGCATCTTTGTGCTGTTACAGATATAGAGCATTTTGGCTTTCCAACTACGCTTATCGAGCGTCTAGAGTGCAAGAGATCAATTTTGTAATATCTAAGATTCCGTTCCTCTTTATTTCGATACCTTCTTGTTATCAGATTTAAAATCACATTTGCAATCTTCAATGCTTGTCAATGATGGTCAACCGGCTCGGTTGCCGTTGGTGGTGCCGTCTCCACCTGCAAGTTCAGGGCCCAGTGAGCGCAGTAGACACTCGCGCAAGGTGACGCGTGATATTGCGGCTTTGGACTTTCTACAGAATATCCCCATGCAATCCGAGAGCGTCATCCCAGTTGCGGAACCGTCGCCCGCTTCGGAGATCGACACCGACGACTTGATAATCGACGGCGTGAATCGACTAAACGCAGCAGCAAATAGCTCTGATGTAGAGCCACTGGCTGGAAAGAGACTCCCGGGTATGGAAGCTACAGTCGTGCATGTGCCATCTTTGTTCCGTTATCGCTTCACGACGAAATTTCCAGCGGCGTCGGCCGTTGTGAGACGTTGGGAGGGCGTCACAGCTCAGCAAGGACTACTGGATGCTAGATTATTCTTTTCTAGAGGTTGCGGGTATCCATTAGCCACGTCCACTATTATAAACGTGAGTACAAGAAAGACAAAGAGACTGATAAAACAAAGAGAGACTGACTTAATTATTGGCTTGCTTGTTGCTTGTTACTATTAGTACAATGGCAATGAAACAACAGCAAGGAGAATTAGATTTGCGTCTATGAGCGCATTGGCTTTGGAAAGGCCGTCATCGACCAATTACGACTGGAGAGGCACCTCATACTTCCGACTGTTGCATGCCACGTGGTCGGCCTGTGATGCAGATCGAGATCGAGAAGACGCGCACCCGGAACGTGTGCCGTACTCGGCCAACTTCTTAGACGATCCAGAGTTTCGTCAGGGTCGCCATCGACATGTTGTGCGTGGTGACAAGAGTCTTGGACCCATTGTGTCCAGTATCCTGCTTTTTGTCAAACCACATGAGCTCAAGGATGAGCTAAATCAGAAGTTTCAGGAAAAACACGCGTGGTGGCTGCAGGACCCGTCATTGTCCTTGAGCAAATTGAGGCATCTCAAGCGAGACGCGATCATGTGCAGCCAGCGACTGAACCTGGAAGTTGCCACCATGGCTCTGGCCTGTGTACTCTTTGAAAAGCTGGTGCTGCAGCACTACGTCACCAAGGCCAATCGCAAGCTTTACATGGCAGTTTGTTTCTTACTAGCTGCCAAGTTTAACGAACCCGACGAGCGCAAACGTGTGATCCGTGAGCTACTAGAGGATATCGATCGAGTGCACGCCCTCCCATCGCGGGATGTTCTTACAGCCGAGTTCACTGTGTATGCTCAGCTTTCATTTGATCTTCACGTTCCCATCGCTGAAGTTCATCCACACTTTGTTCGACTCCTTAAGCTCATCGAGAGTAATCCGCGCAAGTATTTAGACGACGACGTCTTAATATCTTACTCTGCGCTATTGGCGAAGGAGAAGCAGGCAGAGAACTTCGGTATGGTGCTGTCGGATCCTCTAGATGGGTTTGATGAGACAACAGATGGTGAGGCACGATTAAGCGACGAGGATGATGACGATGCTGAACACAATAGCGCGAAGGATAGCGAACAACGAGCAAGAAAGCGAAAAAGCTCTGGTGTTGGGGGCAAGAATACTTCTAATGACCCATCGATGTTTCCTTGGCATAATGTGTCCATCACCCAGTGGTGGCGAAAGCGCCGCAACTCGCGAGAGCGGCATGAGTCGTCATCTACTGCTCCCTTGGCAAAATGAAGACACTGTCGCTTGAATTCTTCGTTCCTTATGCCATGCCAAAAGAACTTTACTCGAAGCTAAATAGCATATATTTTTAGTCCCTCTCAAAAGACTCGGACGCGTTAGACCATGACGTTCACAATTTCAGGGCAGACATTTTGAGGGACTGTCACTGAAAGTTAGGGGCGACAGCGGCTGCTCGATAAGCGCAGAGATGAAGACAGCAGTCAGCGTGAAGAAGTAAGGCATTGAGATCGATCAAGAAGTTAGTGTACCAGTCCCAACGAGGGTACTTCTTTGTATCGCCGCAACAGCGTAGCATGAATTACCGGTGTGAACGAAGTGCAAGACCTATCGCACATTCCTTGTCACTACCGCTCGTGTGACTGCATCGACCATTCATTTGGCATCCAGAGCCCTTGCGAACGATATGATCGTTACCGTTTCCGCCAGCGCTAGCTACATGTCAAAAATTCCTTCGACACCTTCAGTTATTTTACACACGCTAATTGTAACGGGGTGAGCCCGTTACATAATATTGACACTCATATGAAGTGTCAATAAAATATTATTATAACTAATAATATTTGACAATACAATCTTTTCTTATAACATTGTCCCTAAATCTCCTTGAAGTTGGAGATGCCCTCTCATTGGTTGATATGGGCCATCATATCAACCAACACGCTGACCAATGACCGATGGACGCGCGCAATGAGTGGAGGGCAAGTTGTCAACGTACATAGTTGTAGTTTAATATAGTTAACATAGGTTATAACAGATTAGTTTTATTAAGATAGTTAACTATATTAGATACAGTTCTCTTTTCACTCTCAACTAAGCGTTTGTTTAGTTTATAAGCTTCCTCTGCTCACGTGTACGTGAGGTTTTGAGGCACCTACTTTTCTTGTAATCAGTGAAAGTAGACTATACTGTAATCAGTATAGTCGGAGGGTGCCCCATTACACTAATACCGTCTGTAGAGACTTCGGGTATTATCGCAGTAGTTTTGAGAAAGATGATGTCATTGAAAGCGCCGCGCTGATGCTTTGGTGACCACGGTCGCATCTTGCTTTCGCGCAAACTTTTCTAGTCTCCACTCTTGTGAACACAGACCTGGTCATCGGAAGTATCTGTCTCGGCCTTGTCATCCTGTTGACCCACCTCTAGGTGGACCCTATCCATCTCAATCATGTCCTTTGATGAGAGAGAACTCCTTGCCCACTATGGTTCTAGCCGGTTGATTTCCATCGAGGTTCTCTCTTCTAGATTCCTATCTGGTAATAATGACTCAGGGTCCCTTATAACAGACTCGTGCACCGCGTTAACCACTGGCACTTGGGTTCCCGTCCGTAGCAACATCTTTTGTGGAGTCTTGTACTGGGGTCTCTCGACCATCGGACCTTGGTATTCTTCTTCTTGAGTGGTTTCTGCGTCTTCCTAGTCTGTGGTAGCTTGGTAGCCTAGGTTCTGCCATTCAGCATACCTCCTAGAACCAACTGACACGAATCCTTGGGCCCGGGGAACCCGGTCCTTAGCCAGCCAGATGCCCAGCTTGGTATCCTCGTGTAGGATCAGGTCCCTGTCGCTGACCTTGGCAAACCTCACAAAATTGGAGATGTTCATGCCCCTGGATCATCGTAGTCACCCGTCTGTCTCCACGGGTTATCCATACTATTCACTGGTCCGACGTAGACCTTTTCTGTAACGGGCTAACATTTACACGGTTCGTTAAGTATCGAATACTAATGGGCAGGCATAAATGGGTACGAGTTACCTTAGGCCTGCCACTTGGGTGTGGCACATCAATGTGACCCACCCTCGTGAATGTGATATCCATGGATGGATTCACATTCAACGAGGATGACGCCAGTTGGGACTGGGCGTCATGGTGACGCTTCAAACAGACGTCATCAGCGAGCTTAAGTATATTTTAAGCTCGCACGTAAAGAGACGCTTCTAAAGAGACGCGTATCCAATCTTTGCATAATTATCCAATCAGTAGTTAAACTTATATTTAGTTAGAATTTATTAAATATAAGTCAAGTCTTGAATTTACTAACTATCGCCCACTGCGCACGAGAAGCTTGATAAGCTTTTGCGTGAAGTAGGTGAGGTACCTCATAGGTGTTCGTTGCGCGGACCGCTCTAAGCGACCGGCAACATTTTGATTCGGCGCTTCAAGAGACCGACCAACGCAACCACTACCGCACGCGGAGGTAAGACGGTATAACCGCTTCCTCGCGCTGCTTGAAGTCGTGCCTGCGTAGTACATGGCAGCTTCTTTACGAAGCTCTCGTCTACATATCTAGCAAAACCTCGACATATTTTGTCGCCGGCAAATTCACGTGCTGGCGCAGTTTTACATTAAAGATATGGCCACTATACAAGGTCTTGCGACCTACCAACTGAATTCGCACTTCATCTGGTAAGCAAATAGTTCCATCTACCATATCCAATCGTATTCCGGCTGGCACCATAAAATCCATCCCCAAAAGTGCATCCTGACCAATTAGGAAACCTACCCATACATCGAAAAAATATACCAGTACCCCTTTCAGCGTAATCTTCACCTTTGTCCGTATATACAACTTCTCCAATACCCACACACTCTTGTCTCTCGCTCGTATCGATTTGGTAGCCTACCTTACGAGCAAAGGCGGTATCCAAAATAGATACTTCGGCACCGGAATCGAAGAGCAGATTCGGCGAGTATTGTTGACCTTCCCAGAGGCCTTGCCTGCTTGAACCACTTTCCTGGGGCATGATGTTTCCAGTATCCTCTTGACTCTACCGGCAATAACTCCAATGTCATCATAGTCTCTCCTCTGGAATAAACATGAGGTATACATGCATTGGCCATAACAGCAACAGAATTAATGCAAAGGCCCGATGTATTTCCAACCAATTCTTTCTCCTTAACGACATTCTCCACGGGGTTTTTCTCCACAAATGCATAAATGCAAAAATTAGAACGCTCAGCTCGTACCCGATTCAAACCTGGCGAGCGTTCTGATTCAACATCTTCTCCGCAGCCTCGAGCAGCTGCCCCGCGTGTTTGGTCGGGTTGTACCACTGGTGATACAGATTGTAAAACAAATTCATTGGGCACTTGCCGACGTCATGAACCTTGCCACAACCGCGACACACAAACAGGCAGCGGTCGTCTGGATGCCCCTTCTTTCCACATCGTTCGCAAACGAGTCGCTTCCAACAGTCCAGATCCCCATGCTTCTTAGATCCACAATGGGTAGGGGAACTTCGGTCCAGGCCCCTCTGCCATGCGTCGACCTCGGTCTTGGTCTGGGTCCTGATGGTCCTGGGGGTCATCTTCATTTCTCGCCCTACCAGTGTACGGCTTACTCACCGCCGCATAAATTCTTCTGAGGTCACCTTCTCCCTCAGACTCACTAGAGCTAGAACTCTTGGTCATTTTCACTTTCCAATGTAGCTCGGATGACTTGGACGGGTCGTCTTAGCTGACTCTTGGTGTGGTCTGGAGGGGTTGGGGCCTTCTAACGAAGCTTGCTGGAACCGAACAGGACCCTTCCTTGACGCGTTTTCGCTCTCTGACGAGCCAGCAGGACTTCCTCCAGGTCGTCTGCATCAGAAAGTCTGAGCAAGGTGAGCTGATCCGCTAATTCTCGATCATCCAAGGTTTCTACGTAATGGTCCACATGTTCACGCTTCACACTGGGGGTCCACCCTCAATATCTAGCTTGGCCCTGAGCCCCGCCACATTCAACCGGTACAAATATTCCAAGGGTGACTAATCGGTTCTACTTTTTGCGTGATAATATAGCCGGGCCACCGACACCCCCAAGCCGCAAATTGGGCTTGGAAATTTTACAGGAGAAGTTTTCAATCACCGCGTACCGTTCGACCCAATTGTCGATTCCAATTTTGAGCTGGACCTGTGAGCAGGGACCCAAAAATGAGACACTTCTCGCTGTCTGGTGCCTGGTCTCGGAGGAAAGCCGTCTTTACCTTAGTGCTCCAGCTTTTGGCACGATCTTCATCGTGGTCCCTTCCGCTAAATTCCTTCAGATCCGACGAGGCCGATACTCTGATATAGGGAATACAGTAAGGGCCCTCCTGCCGTAGCCGCGGCCACAGTCGCTCGCGCTGAAGTCATCGGGAACGTCAAATCATCTGGGTCGTATTCACCATGGGTGGACCCTACAGACTCCATGTCCACATCAGGGATATCACATGGTGGCCCCAGGTGCTCAATTCTCTGGGAGGACCTGGGGTAAACTGGTTCTTGGTCCTTCATGGTATGTCCCCTGTCCACTGCAAAATTTGTGGAGCCTTGCTCTTCAAGAAACTTGGTCATCGCCTTACCAAAGTACGACTGGAGCGCGCTAGGGGAAACTGACTCAGCCTTTGTTTCCTGATCCGATTTTGTTCCCATCGACCTTTGCTCCACTTTGCACCGGGCTACCGTCTCCTCCTGTGCTTGGCGTTGGACCCATGGGGTTGCTGTGTCCATATGGACAGCTTCGCGAATTATAACGCTGCACTAGTTGGACCCAATTGCATTCGGTCCACCGTATCCATCAGGACCGACATCATAGATGAGGTGGCCGATTCATATTGAGACCTTGGTGACGATTCATCGAGTGACCCAGCAGGAGATCCCACGCCAGGAGCCTCTGCTCCTCCGTCTTGACGGGGTACTTCCTTTTGAGGAAACTTCCCCACTAACGTCTTGAGGTGACCATGCAGGGTCGCTAAGGTCTTCTTCAAGGTCTCGAACCCGAAATCGAAGAGGGTCTCGGCATCAAATTTCCCTGCAGCCATTCCAGCTTCATGTAGCAGATTCATAAAATCGTGGTGGGAAGGGCCGTTATCGGACCGTGGACCTGGTCCAGAAGCTTGAACTTGAGCGTCTTCATCACCGGGTCCTTTCGAAGGAACTTCTTCAATCTATTCCGATGGTAGGCTTCTTCCAAATCTTCTTCTGTCCAGTCCTTACTAGCCACAACTTGGCTCTCCCCCGACTCGTCCGTCGTGTC